TCCTAGTCCCAATGCCCACCTCCATGTGACGTGGAAAACTCATATTCTTACATTCCATTTTTCCTTTGTTAAAGGTAAATGACGTAATGTTACTTCACTGTTTAAAATATTTCAATGCCCTCCCATTGTACTTGTTACAGTACTAACCAGGCCCTGCATGATCTAGCCTTTGCATACCAATCATACCAGTTTCTCCCTTGCTTATTGCACTACAATCACACTGAATTTCTTTTAGCTTCTCAAATGCACCAAGCTTTTTCCTGCCACACGATCCTCACGCATGCTATTCTCTCTCTTTAGAAGGCTCTTATTCATACACTTCATCTGGCTACCTCAGGTCTCAGTTTATGTCACTTTTTGAGCGACACTTTCCCTGTGTTATGAATCTAAATCATGTCCTTCCTATTATTATTTTCCATAGCACCTTGTTATTATTCTTTTCCGTAGCACCTTGTTATTTTCCTTTATTACACTTATCGATATTTATTTATTTAGTATACTGTCGGTTTCCTTCAAAGGGCTCCAAGTTCTATGACAGCAGAAATCACATACCCACCACTTAGCATAGTTTGGCTCATATAGGCAAATATTTATTGGATGAATGAATTCCCACTGCCATAAGTGCAGGCTTTAACTCTATCCAATAAGATTATAAACTCTTTAAAAGCAGAGACTGTCTAATTAAAGTTTGTTCTTCCACAGCCCAGTAGGCAGTGCCTTGGACACAGTAGGTAGGTGTTCCATAAATATTTATTCAATGAATCTTGGCTTACTAATCTACACTCTGCTTTTTTCTCTTCTAATTTACATACCATAATATTTCTAAAATATGGCTTCCATCATCTTAATCCCCTGCTAAAAAACCTACCCACTATTACCTATTTCATCAAATTCAACTTTATTCATTCTCCTAACTCTCAAGTAAAGTATGTAGTATTTTATAATCCTCACAACACAATTCAATACTTATCCACTGTCTCAAATGATTTCTAATTGTTTCATATGTGTGAATGCAATTTGATTAAAATTGCCTTCAATATCAGGGTTTATGTCTTCTATTTTGGCTTCCCCTTTTGTTGGGCACACAGGTGCTCAGTGTCAAAGAAGAAACTATCATTCAAAACGTGAAATAAAAAGCTGATTTATTATTTCCTATGTGTAGAAGCACTATGCAGCAGACGCATCTCTCTGCTGATCTTACATAGTATTTTGTGAAAGGTGGAGTTCAGGGATTGGCTGACTTTCAAAGGTGAGAGTGGGTTGACATCAGCTGTGGAAGCATGATTACTCTGGTGGAGAGACTGTTGACATTTGGCTGATTTTCAGAGATGTGTTAACTAGAGCAAGGCTGTTGCTTTGGGTAACTTTAAAAAGTGGGAGGCTGTCACCGAATGGCTGGTTTTTTAGAGGCTTGTTCACAAGGTGGAGTTGCCATTGATCTATTAATTGAGTTAAAATCACCTCTGCTTGTTAGTTGTTACCATAGCTACGTAATAGTCTTTTCCTGAGAATATACGACTTTTAATATTTTCTTCAAGAAATATTTATTAATTGATGGACACATTCAACTTTTTCAGATGCAAGAAGAGATTTATTGGAGGTTTACAGTGCAGCTAGAGCAGCTCTGTTCTAATGTTAGACCTTTCAGAGGGGAGTCATGTCATTCTTTTTCTGCTCCCCAAGGTGTCTCTCATCTTCATTCTAACCAAGCAGGGATGATCAGATTGAGGAGTCATAGGTAGATTTGATACGAAATGTCCTTTTCAGGCCACCAAATGATATTGATAGGGATAGGTTAGAAGTTTCTTTCAGCTTCACAACTCATTACTGATAATGTCATGTAAATTTTTAGGATTGTTGTCACATTTGGGAAAATCTCAAATACGGTTATTTAATATATGACTTAAAAGAGTTCAGGGCACATCAGTTTTCTTTAAACTGATGACACTCTAACTAGTTTGCTGTGGATATCCTTATTAAGTTCTGACAGAAAACTTCTTTTTATTGGCTAAGCATTGATAAGCACTAAATCTTTCATTGAACTTTTACACATCCAATAATTGGAAGGATTTCCCACAGATTAGCTTCAGGCTCCCTAAGTTTCAGCTTTGCTTCTCCCCCATTATCCATATATTTGTGATGCCATTACATAGGACACATTCAAATAGCTATAAGATGTCTGGCCCTGCACCTTTGTTTTACAGTGGTGGGTGAGTTGGCACAATGGGTGGTAGGAGCATTCCTGGATGCCATTCTTACAGTGGGACAGCTGGCAATATCTTAACAACATATGGAAGTGACTGAATTACAAAAATATATCCCACTAAACTCAAACCAAATGTATTCAAACTGAATTTCCCTTCAGCTAAATTTTAAAAATGCCTGCTAGCTACTCCAACACCACTAGACAAGAAGTGTGACAGAGGAGAAATCAGTGAGGAAAGAATTAGCAGTTTAAAGATTGCAGTTAAAATTTTTACTTGTACAAATTTTACAAAAGTGTATGACTGTGTGAACATACTGCTAGGGCCCCTTCCAGGGCCTTGTAAAGGGCTACTGCAATGAATTCCCCTGAAGCTGAAGTTTTCTTAGCTTCACAGTAAATCTTTCTCAAGGTCTGGAGCCACTTTATTTATAGGGTGAATTGTCAATTTTCAGAGTCAGCTGTATATAGGGCCAGTAGATATGTTGCTTACAGCTCCATTTGAGGCAAAGCTTTTCTAACAGGAAGAAATCTTTGCCTCTTGTGTCAAAGGGCTCCCTGCTATTTATTTAGGCTAGTGGTTCTCAAACTCTGGTCTCATGACCATTTCACACTCCTAAAAAGTACGGAGGACTCCAAAAAGCTTTTATGTGGATCATATCTATCAACATTTACTGTATTAGGAGTTAAAACAAACATGTAAAAAATTTGTTTATTAATTCATTTAAAAACAATAATAAGTCTGTTACATGTTAACATAACATATTTTTAATGAAAAATAACTATATTTTCCAAAGCAAAAAGAATTTAGTGAGAAGAGTGGTATTATTTTACATTTCTGCAAATCTCTTTAATGTCTAGCCTAATAGAAGATTCTCATATCTCCTTCTGCATTCAATCTGTTGCAATATCACAGGACATGCAGTCTCTGGAGAACCCCAGTGTACTTTCATTAGATTGAAAGGGCAAATAAAGTCTTAGAATGAAATCATTTTGATCCTGTGGACCCTCTGACCACATGAGAACTGCTGATTTTAGACATCACTATATCTACTTTCCGGTTGCCTAGGGGTCCCAAAGAACCCTCTGACTATTTCTGTATCTATGTAATCAACCTCACCTCCCACATAAGAGTCAAACGTTAATTTTTGCTATGCTTTTTAGCATACACGGAAAAATTTGAAAACAACAATTTTTAATGAATAACAAATCTTAGAGAAGTCATTCTTCCCTTTCACTGACAATGGGAAAAGTATCTCCTTCATTGTCTGCTCCCTGATAGTTAGGCTTTCTTTTTTTAAGATTATAATGACTAAGGTGAATCTTAGACTAAGACCAAACACATTGGGTACCTTATATGCTACAACAACACAGTCTGATATTTATTAAGTCCTTTCCGTGTGCTAGGTATATGCTAAATGCTTTACATACATTAGCTCATTTAATTTTCACAATATCCTATGAGGTACCTACCGACATTCCTATGTTACAGATGAGGAAATTGAGATAGAGAGAGGTTAATGACCAACGTTACTTACGGGACTAAGCCGGGAATTGAACCCAGAAAATCTGTCCCCGGAGTGCGCAGGCCATTATCTACTGATAAAGTATAAAGGTAGGAGATAGAGCCACATTCGTACAAAATGACAGTAGAGGTGACAGAGGGAGGTTTGTAAAGCAAAAAGCCTCAGGGCCAAGACCGCTGAGATGCCAAGCCTGGAAGCACTGTATTCCCACTCGAGGCTTCCTTTCTGCTTTATTTTCCACGCTCCAGTGTTCCTCTTCTCATATTTAAGATATTTCATTGTTGGTGGCTTCGTCGCTAAACCTGAAATTAAGGCACTAAACCAGCTGATGAAAGGAGCGGGGCGAACCCGAGGTAACCACGGTAACGGTGGCGCGGCTAAAGCCCTGCGCAGGCGCGTTACATCCCAGGCCCGTCTGCCGGCCCCGCCCCTCGGCCTTAGACTCGCTGGGCTGGTAGGGAGTACGGATGTGGGCCGCGGGTGGGGGCGGGAGAGAGGCCGGGGCTGGGCGCCTGCGCAGTCGCCGGGGCGCTGGTGTGATCGAGCTCACGTAGCGAGGGCTGCTGTCGCGGCCTAGAGGTTATAAAAGGGCTAATTGGCTCCCTCTGCTGCCCAGTCGCGCCGCCAGAGGGCTGCGAGAAGGGAGTAGTTAGGCGGCCCGTGTGCAGGCGACAGGGGACTGAAGAGCGCGCCGCCCTCCCATCGCACTTCGCAGGTAAGATGCTCCCCCGATCTTGGGGACTGAGGCTGAGGCCCTTGGGCAGCCGTGGCCCTTCCCGGACGGCTGTGTTGGTCCGGTCCCTGCCCCCTCTGGTGGGATGGCTTGAGGGTGGGGGGTTCTCCAGTTTACCACAGCAGCCTCAGTACCTTCTCTGGAGACTCGGCCCCTCGCCCTGCGCCCCGCCACCCTGGGCTGCCCCAGAGGTCCTTCTGCCCTTTTCCGTGCTCCCCTTCCCACTTCTTCCCTGGTCAGCGCCCCTGACTATTAGCGCTGCTGCAGCCTCTGTCCCCGCCCCGGGGACTCGGACTTTCTTGAATATTCCTTCCCGCGGAGGAATCACCCTGTTGCTTTTCCCGAGCTTCTCTCATACCTGGTCCTCCTTACAAAGCTGAGGGTAACGCGGGGGTGGGGCGTGGGTTTTTGGTCTCTATAGCAGCAGAGAGTTAGCATGTGGTAATGGAGAGCGGATTTTAAAGCTTAGAGCTGAAGCTGAAGCACTCCAGGCATGTTTGCCCTATCGAAGAGTCGTGGGTCTGGGAAGTCGACCTACCCGGAGAAGTTCAGACTTAACTCATCTGTTGGGCGCATCGGTGCTGCTGGAGCAGCTAGACGTAGCCCCGGGCGGCGAGGTTCGGGCTGCGGGTTGAGGAAGTCGGCTGTCAGATCACCCAGGCGTAGGGGAAGCTAGTCTTCTTCCTTCCCTCTTCTTCTACCTAAGTTCTTTAAAGGCACATGAGCTTCTCCCCCACCCCCTCTTTCTCACCAGGGGTTTGCTGCTTTTAAAAGTCCACATCAGTAGAACGAATTCCATGGTTGTGTGAGAACTTGGAGTTGGATTACATGAATGGTCCCCAGCTGTATGTTTTAAGGGGCAGGAAGAATGGTACCATAAGTATGAGACTGTTTCTCCTAAGTAATCGAACGTATTAAATGCAATTCAGTTTTTAGACACTAACATCTTATGCATTCCGGATAGAGTAGAGAAGACTCTTGGAATTTTACACTGTTTGCTTTAAGAAAGGGATGAAGGAGCAGCTAGATCTCCTTTTAGGAATTGATCTGAAAGGCCAAAGAGGCTTGCCAGTGTCAACTTAACTGTTTCTGGTTTCTCCGAGAGCTGTGGCTCTTCGACTTTCCCTTGGAATGCACTCAGAGGGGATGAAATAGCCACTACGTGAGTGGGGGAGGGGAAAAGACGTGGCAGCACTGTTCTTTCATCAACTTTTTGCTCATTTTTTCCCCAAAGGTTTTGGGAAGAAACGTATTTCCCCTTTTAGGTTTAGGCGTAGCTTATGAATGAGGCTGGTCTTTTCCTAAAATAATCAGATGAAATATTCAGTCTGCATGGCAGGAAAGCTGAAATTTAACTTACAAAATATTTTAAAGGGATTTTTCCGATCAAGTTTCTATGGAGAAATGGATACCTTAAGCAGGAAATATTCAAGAAGCTGAAAGTGAACAACCTTGAATATGCTTTGCCTTGATTTGAAATTTAAATAGACATTCCGTGATTTTTCTTTAACTTTGGCTTTTAGCCTGTGAAATGTAATTTCAGAATCTTAAATATGAACTTCAAATTTTACCTTTTCCTTTCTGTGGGAAGCATAGATTTTATCACTTACCTTTAGAAGTCATGACAGTTTGGTTTTGAAGCATTATGCCTGTATTTTAGATAGCGGAGCAAATGCTTCTTACAGATTTAACATAGACTAACTAGGGAAAGGACTACTTTGTCTCTTTTTAGATGGATAATGCTGATGAGTTTTATTTTGAGGTACTGAAAGTGAGGACTTTGGTAAGCAGGTAATTATATTGCCCATTTTGTGTCAGAGTAACTAAGGTAGTAAAACAGATTAAAAAATGTATACAGCTTTTAATTATTGCAGAAAAATTTAGACAGTGCAAAAGACTTTAAAAAAGAAAGTTTTATGTCACCTAGGTAGTCCAGGTTGTTGCAGGTGAATCTTGGCTTTTTGGTAAGGAGATGTTAACCTTTTCTAATACTGCAGAGTGGGTTGTATTTTGACAAGAAGTATTTTTCATAGGGCACTTAAGTTCAAATTCCTGCTTTTATTGCAGAGGTGCAGCCATAAAGCTTGTGAGCCTTCATTTCTGTGGAAGGAATGCCTTATTTTATTTAGGAATTAATTATCAACTAGGGTATAATTACTGCTCTTAGATTTGAAAAATGTGCCCTGTGAGATAACATAGTAGCAGTTCTCAACCTATTTTGAGGTCATAAAATCTATTGAGAATTTGATAGGAGGTGTGGACTCTGGGTCAAAAAATGCAAGTACACAGATCTGTTTGGAATTTTATATGCCTCTTACAGATCCCCTCATAAGTGCATCTATAAATTCTGTTATAAGAACTAAAAAATAAATGAGATATGAAGTTAATCTTTAAGGATATCTAGGTATCTTGAGGCAGTATTTCTTGAATATTTCTGAAAATTGAGCTGGGCTTTGTAGGTCTGACTGGACTTGAGTGTATAGATCACCCTGATGAACTTTTGCTAAGTTTTTACAGGGGTTAATAGGTTGGTAGGAGAATTGTTGAATTGCTAAATTGTTTAGTGAATGAGACATCATATTGGCCATCCCTGCCCCCCCAATATAATTTAACATATCTTTGGTTCTACTCTGAAAGTGGAAAATGCTTGAAGATAAACAGAAATAAATTGCACAGGCCCTTGGCATTAAATTTTATTGCTCTTCTTACGGTGGGATCTTGAATCTTATAATCAAATCGTAATGGTGTGTGTGTGTGTGTGTGTGTATGTATGAATATGAATATATAGGAGACAAGCCAGATAAAGTGTGTATGTGTATTTGTGAAACTAGTTAAAGCTTTATTTGTGTTTCTTCTCGATGAAATTTATTTGTATAAATTGAAGCTATCCTCTCATTAGTTTTCCTCTAGCCAAATATATTGTGCCTCAATAAAAACTGATGAAACTCAAGACTTCTTTAAGGTTACTCCAGCAGTTTTTGAACTTGATATAATGAAAAACATTCCTTTCCCTCATGTTTCTTTGGATGATCAGTGTGACTGTTAGTGTATTTGGTTGGTTATTGGCAAAAAATATAGTTTAGAGATTGATGCTTTTTGCATAGTTGTTATCAGGGAATGAGAACTTGGATTTCTTCTTCTTCCTGCTTAGTGTTTCATATGAATGTGTCCATGTTTTGGTCATTTACGTTTTTTCATTTAAATAGTAATATTATGACATATCAAATTAATATACTCAGCCTTTCTCTCTTGTTGGGCATTTGAGTTGTTTCTCCATTATAAGTAGTGTGAAGAGAGAAGGCTGTAATTTAGTGGTTTATTTTATCCACCTGTATAGCTACAGTAAACTTTACCCCGTTTTCTTTATATCTGCATTTTTTTAGGAAAAGAAACATGTGACAATAAAACCTTATATCAGTAATTTTTTCTTCCCCCTCAAAGAATTTTCTGGGAGGATTGGACTGTGCTCTAAAAAGATTTTTTAATCTACCTGATAACAACTAAAGCACTTTATAATTTATAAAGTGTTGTTTCATATATTATATAATTAGATCCTTAAAATAATGCTATGATGTAGTTTTATATCATCACCCTTTTACAGATGAAGAAACTGAGGCTCAGAGAAGTCAAGTAATTTGCCCGAGAATACAGTAAGTGGGAGAACTAGGACTTGGACCCAGGTTGTCTGTTCTCTGATTCACATTTCATATTACTTCATATTATTTCCCTGATTATTGGTCACACTGACTCTGAAGTAATAGAAGGGAAAAAAAAATCAATTTAATAGCATACTACCAAGATATTAGAAATATTTTCAACATCTAGAGGTGAAATAATGTAGGGTTCCTGGTTAGTAGTAATTAACTTAGTCATTTCACTCAATTTAATTTTAAAAGCATTTGTAATGTGCCCAGTAAACTATGGGAGAATCAAAGGAGTGATAAGAAATGTTTCATAGGAGAAATAGGACATGCAAGTTATATGGTAGGCAAATATGTTACTAACATTTTACTTGATGTTAAATCTAAATAAGTGCTGAATGGAAACCCATAGCTAGATTCACCTCCTCTGCAACCATGAATTCATTTTTCCCTCTTCTAGTATATGTGGTTTTATTTCGTATATCTTTTCCTCAACTTGACAACTTTGAATCTGGCATTAGGAAAAAGACGGAATTGGAAGGCTAGAAAGGGAAGAGGGAGACTAGGTTAAAGAAAAACGGAATTTTTGCAGGAGAGCCATGGGAGCGATGACATTGAGGTAAAGTATATCTGGGCCTCAGAGCTATAATCCATCTATTAGGAGGAGAGGGCTGCTAAAGCCAGTTCCAGGTATTCTGTTGTGGACTAATGGGCCCTAGCCTGAATGGATTGTGGTCAGAGATTAAAAGTATATATAACCTCCTTTGTGTTAGGAATGGTCTTTAAGAAATACAGGTACATATGGGAATTTGTTCCTCATTTATGCAGAGTGCGTTCAACAAAAGTTAGTTTCTCTAGATGTTTTCCATTCCAGGTATCATAGTTACTTTATTTTGGAACTACGGTAAGACCCAAGAATTAGTAATCAACAACTATAAAATAAAAAGGCATTGAACATTGATATGAAACGTCAAATAGAACAGTATGTCCTATTGTGCATATTTATACCAACAACAGAAATGGACTCTATAAGCATATTGTTAACATTTTGGGAAAAGACGCTTTTGTAAGATTTCTGGGGAGTAAGTAATAGAAATGGAAACTTGTAAAGTATTAATCACTAATTTTCAGATGTCTATTTTAATCTATTTTCTGTCTGTTTTTCCAAGTATATTTTTATAAGATTCTTCGCCTCAGTACCTAGCTCTATTGCCCTAATCATTTCTCAAGCTTTTCAACCATGAATTGTTTTCTGAAATTTTTAAAGAATTTTGGTTAAGAAGGGAAATTTATATACAAAGTCTGGACTAGTGTTTAGTTTTAGAGAAATTAAAGTGTTCTCCTTGATTCTTTTTTTTTTAAATTGAGGTAACAGTGGTTTATAACATTATATAAGTTTCAGGTATACATCATTATATTTCAATTTCTGTGTAGTCTCCTTGATTCTATATTGTGATCATTAAGTATTTATCAATCATCTGTTATTATGTACTGAACACTGTGCTGGAAGAGTCGTGATAACTTCTTGTTTGAAATAACATACAGAATGGAGGACAGTTACATAAATTTACATGTTTATTTTATTTGAGAGTAGTAAATATTGATTTAACTGGTTTTAAGTAGACTCAAGACTTCTTTTACACTTTAATCTTATACTAAATTTGCGTATTTAATTCCTTCAAAAAATGATCAACAGTGTTTATTTTAGTGTTTCTAAAACCTAGTTGTTGAATTTAGGACCTCAAAGCATTACTTGCTGTGTATGTATGGCCTTTGTTCTTACCCCCTTTTTCCAGCAACCTCCCCTCTTTTTTTTTTTTTAATCCAGGCAAGATTTTATTCATATTCAAAAGTTGCATGAAGACATTCTCAAATTTACATGGTCTCAAATTTACCAATCTTTTAACCTCAAAGATATTTTGAGACTAGATCTCAATTTACCATGTTTGAATTTTAAAAATCTTAAATAATGATGTTTTTTGAAAACAGTGAACAGTGATCATAGCTACCAAGTGTTAGAG